TTGAAATGTTAATAAAAACTAAAGATTATAGAGTTCAATGATTTAATATACATATATATATATATATAATTACTATATGTTTTACCAGTTAAGTCTTACTTCTTACTTCTTATCTCTTACTTTTTAAAAATTCAAAAATGTTATTTTTTATATGATCAATTGAACTAATCAATTAAACCAGTTCAACTGGTTGAATTACACCTAATACCCAAAACGGGTTAAGCACCGGTTAGTTCTTAAAACATTGTAGGAGACACAGTGCCATTGCAACAATAAGCTCTACCAAACATACCCTGAATAAAAACATAAAGAAGAACAACCCCCCAAATCTAAATCTAAATTAGATTTTTAGCTGCCATTACTTATGTTTAGCTGCCTAGAAGGGCACAACACATACACATTCAATTAAATACCAATACCCTTGTCCTCTTACAAAACATCAAGCTAAAATGTCCGATGCTCCTCTGGCTACGGCTATGGATGTTACAATCTGTTGCGATATGGTAACAGGGTGGGGTTCCAGAAAGGATCATGTCTCCAGATTTGCTTTTACATAACAGGCTAACATGTCAAAAACAAGTATAATAGCATACGTAGAGAAACAGCAAAGCTTCGATAGGATACACAACACTTGCTAGTTTGTTACAATTTCACATCAACTCATAAGCCAAGAAACGGACATTGCTTTCTCGCATGCTCTGGAATTAACTTGACCAAAATCTCTACTGGCACCCCCTTAAGTTCTGGTTTGCAACCAACAACATTCAGTTGTAAGGCACACAAAAAAAATATCATAGAATACATCCTGTTCAAGGATACCATTTCTTACCATTAGATTTGAAGTTAAAAAGTGGTGGAAGGAAACGTCCATTTGGCAAGCGAGTGTTCGGGTCACGTAGCTCATCAAAGAAAGGATGGATTAAGGCATCTAACTGCAGATTTAAAAATAACAGACTTAACACGGTGCAGCTCCTCAATCAACAAACTGATCAAAAGGTGCATACATTGCAAATGGATTAACAAACATGGAAGCATAAATACTAATTTCAGATGATAAAGTTTCCCCCATCAACCAAGTGATTATGTCACATATTATAGTACCCATCATGTAGCCCAACACAGACCTAGAAACCTACCACAGCTAATGTTGCCCTCAACTAATTAAAAGGCTCAAAAGGCCCTTGGTTTTAGTCTCTTAAACTGACAAACTGTGATCCCCCCAAATTGTTTGCTAGGTTGGAACCTCCAATATTTACCGTTCTTTGTAGCAGTCTTACTAATGACTCCCAATGAAAATGGACGGAACAGCAGCAAAGGAAAAGAAAAAATGAACTAAAGTCATTAAAAGTAGAGAATATAAATACTCACAGCAGTGCAACGAAGGTTAGGCGAGTACTGCAGTAACCTTGAGACCAAACCAACTGCTTCAGGAGGCATGCGCTTATGGAATATCTAGAACATAGGGCAAAGACAAATATTATTGCAGAACAATGTTAAGCAAACAAAATGGTACTGAGCATTTATTGCTTAAGTTTTAATACCTTATGCCATGGGTGAGCTTTAATCTGAGGAAATTTAAACTCTGTATACTTAGGGTTCATGCATTTAACTTCTTCTCGTGTTGGAGTGCCCAAAACCTGCAAAGCAATAAGATTGTACATGACACTATAACTGGGGAAAATGACAGTCAAGCCTAACAACAATAAAATAAAAGGACTGAGGCTATGCTGAACCAAACGGGGAGATATGGTTGCAGCCCAAGATAGCAAAGCAAAGACAACCAAAGCTTGTCAGCATCCAGGATAGATGTGGCAACTTTTTTTGATGGTGCAGATTCCATCACCTCTAAAAGGTAGGCCTTGCTCACATGTCAAGCAATCAACAAACTATAGATGCAGCTGAAGCTACCATTAAAGAAGTTAAAAGACTTTAAAATTACCTTGATTATCTCCACAAGCTGGTCAACTCCACTCTCACCAGGAAATAGAGGCTGTAAAATACAAGGAAGTATATACTTAAAATTCATATCAGGGACATTCAACACACAAGTATATAATTTTAATTAACTACCTAGTCCCTACCTGTCCAAGTAGAAGCTCTCCAAGGACACAGCCAGCAGACCAGATGTCAATTGCTGTAGTATACTCAGTTGCTCCAAATATAAGCTCTGGCGGTCTATAATACCTTGAGCAGATGTAGGAAATGTTTGGTTCACCTTTCACCTGTGAAATATGATACCATTATTCCTAAAAAATACTCAAATTCATGAGGGCGGGAGGGGATCTAAAGCAGCAGTGATTCAATAACCAAAAAATTGACCATACCAACACTTTTGCGCTTCCAAAATCACATAGTTTAACCTGATGAGTATGTGGATTTACCTGTAGAGACAAAAGAACAGTTATCACTTCAGCAACACATTAAATGAGAAGGCAGAAACAAAAAAAATGAGATCAATATGCAATTGTACCAAAAGATTTTGAGGTTTAATGTCCCGATGACACACTCCAATACAGCGATGGATGTAAGACAATGACCTAAAAATCTGCCATGCATCACCCATAAACTGGTATCAGTAAGTTATCAAGTTGTATACCAATACCAAAATTTTTTATGAAGATAATAACGCCATCATCATTTTAAAGACAAAAACAAAGATTACTAACCACAAAAAGAATAAAGGTGAAGGTCTTACAATAACAAACAACAAGAAGAAAGAAAGGGATCCAGGATGGGAAAGAGAATAACACAGAGAAAGTAAATTCTACTAAGGAACCATGTAAAGCAACATCTTAAAGCAAACAAAACAGAGACACCTATTTTGAGCAATCAACACAACACCTGGTATGTATAAAGCTTGACATATATCAACGGCATCCTTTGGTTCAACTTGTTGTAGTGCTTGATCACACGGTGAACAGTTTCAGGTACATATTCAAGCACCAAATTAAGATACAGTTCATCCTTTTTGGAGGTTGAAAAGAAGCAATGCTTCAAAGCTACAACGTTTGGGTGGTCAAGAAGATGCATTGTTTGTAGCTCACGGTTCTTGTACCTCTTATCTTGAAGAACCTTCTTTATAGCAACAGTTTCACCTGTCTCTAAGCACTTTGCCTAGATTCAAAAGGAAGGGGGAAAATAAAAGGCTGTCACTAATTCGTAAATGAATCCATTATTCTTTGTCACTCCAAATAGAACACACACAATTAAACTTCTTACCTGAAACACAACTCCAAATGATCCATGTCCAACCACACGCTCAGCCATATAACTTATTGTCTGTAATTTTTAACAAAAAATTTTGCATGAGAAGGACAGTGAGAAAATGATCAACAGCAATGAGCACCAATCCGTACGAAAGTGATCACAGATGTAATATTTGCAAAAATCATATGCACTAGAACTTAAAAGTTACAACTCACAAGCATTCAAGGGCAAACAAAGGAAGAGTGAGAAATATCTTGCGACACTCATATTCAACAATATCCTCAGAAAAAGCAATACCTGTTTTGGACCATTTCTACCACCAATAGTTGTCACTATTATATGACCCGTCTCTGTTCCATTTCCGTCAACCACTGTTGCCTCCATTTCCTACAAAATTACAATTGATTACTTTGGACATGTGAATGAAGAAGAAGAGGAATGAATGATTACATTAAATTAAAAAAATTAAAATCAAAGAACAACATGGCACCTTTTCATCCCTAATTTTCATGTCATTCATCTCCTCAGGTAATTTATCAACACCAGCAGCACTAGATTCTCTCAAACCAGAAGTAGGCACAATGCCCACAGAAGCCATTTCTTGTACAAGCAAGTGCCCTAATCTTGTAGATTTTCCCCCTTAAAAAAATCAATCATTTACCTGCAGTTAAAATAAAAAAGGAATAAAAATGTTAGTCATCCGAACAAACAAATGAAATTACAGAAGAAATAAATATCATTTCCCACAACCCATATTGACTGGAACATAAAGTTACATTTGAAACCAGTCAAACGCAGGACGCATCCCAACAGATGCCAAAACTATCAAGCAATCAATTTGAATTATCTCCATTCACGTGAGGTCTGGAGCAAAGCATAATAGACAAGCATTCATTCGAGTTAATTATCAAAACCAGAATACAAGTTTCAAAACCAAGAAATTCAAAAATATCCACTTTTATCATCCAAAGAACAAAAACTATGATACTTGAGTCCTTCAAAATTAGAGCAATATAATTGGTAGCCTTGACATGTCCTCATAAAGCTCACAAGTACATCTCAAAACTCACTTGGGAAGTAGACCCCCTAGAGAACTAAATACCACTAAATAACTAGAAGCAAGTACCAAAAGATGATAAGCTCAAATCCTGAACCAAGCACAAAAAAATTGTTCCCTCTCTGCATATTAATCAAGCTCTTTGTTTTCAAACAAAAGCATATGTAAGTCAATTCTTCCATTGAAACCTACATGGGTAGAGAGGGAAGGAGAAGTGTATGGAAGTGTCTGTAAAAAAAAATTCCCAGAACGAATTTTGCATCTACCAAACAGAGAAATGGCATAAAAATACCAAATTTACAAACCCCATCTTCAATCTTAGAAAAATATAACACCCAGAAACCCAAAAAGGAAACAAATTCAAAGATCTAACCCAAATTCTCAAAACAGCTAATACAAAGACCTAAATTAAAAAAAAAAAATCATAAAAATACTTGATGAGAAGCTCAATGTCCAAATTAACAACGCTCTGAAAAAGATCTAACCAAAAACAACCCGATTCAAATCCAAATGTAAGATAAAAACAAAAACTTCAGTTCATTTATCTTCAAAAAAAAAAGTCATATATTACACACCAAAATTCCAAAAGAAAAAACTAAAAACGAAATCCCAGAATCAGATGAAGATACCCTTAGGCCTTAGCGATGGAAGCAGCAAAACCCAGAATCGGAAATGGAGAACAAACAATAAACGGGCGTCGTGGCAAAGAAGAGAGTGTCAGTCAGAGAGACGATGATGATGATGATTCCAGAAGAGAAAAGGAAAGAGAAAAATAGCTATAGAATAAAGAGAAAAACGTAATTTTTCTGCTCTTTATAGATTCAATTATTCATTCATTCTACAGTCAGTAGCTTTAAACTTTAAAGCTTTTTCTTCGGCAGGGTAACCGTTTGCCCTTAAAGATTTTGAATTTGAGGCGTTTTACCCTTATATTTCAATATATGAATTTTTACCCTCCGTGATTTCTAATTTGAGGAAATAAGGTAAAATTTAACGCTAAATGATCATATGCTACACGTGCATCGTTATTTCCATTATAAATTTACATGTCAGCACCAACTTCGACTTTATTTTACATGTCAGCAAGTCCAACTTGGATCCTTTCCAACAAATTTTTTTTTTTTTCTTCCTCCTTTTCCTCATTTCCTTTCTCTTTCTTCAACTTTTGCAAATCCAAACATCTTTACTAATCTCTACCCTTGTGGCTTCATCATCATCATCAAATAACAAAACTCACAAACAAAACAAAAAAAAGAAATTTTTTT